TGAGTTTAGCGTAATTTTCATTTTATTTGAAAAAGTAGAAGAAATTCATAAAATAGTTGCATTGGAAACCGGAAGAGGCCTTGGCTTCGTCAATCCATTTCTCGGTTGAAATATAACATAAATTAACCAAATTCAGCATAAGCTTTTCCGATTGAGTGAATGTAGCAATGGTATCAAGCCTCCCTGTAGACCATAGTTTCACCGGCACAGAATGTGCTTTCAGAAAAACCAAACTTCAACTGGAAGAGTGAAATCCCACCAATACACATTTCCACTCAAAATGAAAGTAAGTGAAACAATTGTAACAGCAGGTATGTAGACAAATTGGGTTTCGAAGAGTCCCTCAATAGATTGACGTTGGAGTACCTTTCCTTTCCTTTTAAGAGGCGAATGCAAGGGATTCGTAAGTTGGTTCCACCGGAGGCTGTGAATGGGGGTTGTCTTGCAGCTGTGGTTGTAGAGTTGCGCGAATAAGTCCTCAGTGCACCGCCCTGAGATCCCGAGGGTGAGTCCCTTCAACTTGCCTCTTCAAACACCAACATCAATTATAACAGTTTCCGTTTATAAGTAGGCGTTCGAGACAACCAGTACAAAATGTATTCAACCTATTTCATTTAGGGTGATGATATGAGTAGAAATGACGTTTTTATTCAATTTCACGTTGCCTTGTTTTGCCAAAAGTCATTCTCATTCAAGATGGACTTCAGTTTAGACCTCACCTAAGTCTTATACTACAACAGAATGTGATATATAAAAATAACTAACATTCCTTAAGATTAATATCTGCCCCGTGACCAAAGGGCATTCGTGGCATTGTGGCGCAGTGGTTAACGCGTCCGGATTGAACACAGCCGTGTCATGGTTCGAGTCCCGTTGGGGATGCTGATAAGATGTAGGTGGGTTCGAGACTGCAATCCACCTAGCTTGGATAAGAATAACTTTTGGGAAAGCGAGGCTATGCGAAATTTAATGGAAACTTCATGTCTACTCATATGATTATAGCAAAATTATCAGCCCAAACGAAATAGGATAAATACATCTCATATAATTCATAAAATAGTCTCATTGGAAAGCGGAAGAGGCCTTGGCTTCGTCAGTCCATTTCTTATAATAATCTAGAAGCTACAAACTCGTCAAAGAGACAAGTCAAGTGCGTTCTACTAAGTCGCCCTGACAACAAGACCAAGTTACGACAACGAGGTCAACCCATTTCTATAAATCGAAGAGAGACTGCCACCATACCAAAGGCCACAATATCTTGGTCTTCATATCTTTATTTATCGAGTTTAGCGTAATTTTCATTTTATTAGAAAAAGCAGAAGAAATTCATAAAATAGTTGCAGTGGAAACCGGAAGAGGACTTGGCTTCGTCAGTCCATTTCTTCTATTAATCTAGAAGCCTATGAATATACGTACTTGTGATTGTGCACACGAAAGCATATATAAGTTGCATGTTTTGAGACTGCAATCCACCAAGCTTGGATAGGAATAACAAAGCTTTTATATTATTATATTAGTATTATAGTAAAAGTATCAGTTCAAACGAAATAGGATAAATACATCTCATATAATTGCAACATTTTTTTCGTGTATTAGACGAGATTCAGCAGTTTTTAAGACTCTTCCACATTAGTTGTCCTGGCAAGACTCACTCTTGGGTTGATTTTACTTCCCTTCATTCGGAATGGTGCCATGTTTTAGTGTAAATGATGAGGACTTTTTTGTCTAAACACTATCTACAAACTCGATGTAGTGACTCTGTATTGAGTTTGAGGTCGAGGTTAGAACGGAATGAAATACAATGTATAAACCTCGATGAAACACCTTGTAACGAAAGCCAGTGTCTACATGTCTCCCTTGAAACTAGCGTGTATGTGTGTGTGTGTGCATGTCCGTCTATCATTATATCCCTTCTCTTCTCAAACGTCTTGTCTGGACGTTTGCTTTTTTGTCTTGGCGACTCTAGAGACAATTTAGCTCACTTCAGCTCCAAACTGTGGATCGTATGGAGTGCTTCCTTGAACAACTCTCTCTTTCGAGCAAGTGGGATTGGGGTGGGGGCATTGTGTGCTAGAAATTGACTGATTCTAGCCTTCGCCAGCCTGGGCTTACGTAGCTCTTGATGGGAAAGGATGGCGATTCACACCTTCTCTCCAACAGGCCTATCCAATGGCCATTTCGAACCCGGCTCGATCCAGTCTCTGAACCCGCACACCTGCATGGTTCGAGTCCGAAGAGATGGGTTGATGCCGAAATCCATCATACAGGACGAGCATGACATCGGACAAACTTGTTGCTCCTGTCAGCCTTCTCACATAAGACTTGGCGTACTCTGCTAAAATTGGCCTTGATTTCAGATCGTGTTTCCCTCTCTTTTTCATAGGATTTCATTGTCCACTGACTCAGCCGCCTGGTTCCTTAGCCGTCACTAAGAGTCAAATGTGCAGTCTCAAAGAGTATTACCACATTGGTGAAATAAAGCGCCCACCTAATTGACTGTGAAGCGGAGGGTATCAGGAGTCTGACCCTTTCCGATTCCACTGCCATCATGTTAGTCTATCTACCTATTAGGTTATCATTTTCCATACCTCCCTCATTTCGTGCAAAAAATTGACTCATTAATCTCACAAATTAAGCATATACGTCAACTTGATTGATCCTTTACTTCTGGAGCAGTCCGATGACCTGGAATTGGTCGGATTGCATCATTTCTTACAAATGTGTAGACCAAGAATATGTGTCTTCTCTCCTTGTATGAAAGTTGTTTGACCTCTTTTTCGCAACAGGATCATTGTTGTTAGGGCGACCAAGATAAACACATTTTTTTCAAAGTCCTCTACAATCGTGGTCGTCGCGGTTCCTTGTGTCGGACCGAGGATTTGGTACACTCTTGCACGATTCGCCGGCATCCTAGTCAGCAGCATCGGTACCGATTGTGCTACCATCGAAAAGTCCAGGAATGTATGAAATCTATGGTCCGACGGTAGAACTATCCACATGACAACGTGCTTTCCTCTAAGTCATCTCGACCAAGGACCACGTTTCGAATACAAGGTCAATTTCTGCTCGATTCGTCGTCTCCACTTATTCTCTTTCTCTCTCACCAGATCTCAATTAAAAAATTTTGTTGGGGGGACTTTCATTTCATATGAAAGTGCGTGAAGATGAGATTAGTAGGTTGATCTCACTAGGATAGGACGGCAAGAGAGGGCATAAAGTGGAGTTTTAATGTGAGACTTTTATAAAGCTGAGTTCCATCTCTGAGGATCTCCATCATATGATGGAAGACAGATCAGCCCGTTTTCACACAAAACGAGGGAAGAGGTCTCGTGGACTGTGCCAATCTGAACGTGGCATGAAAGCTAAACGGCTGCAGTACAACGGGAATCAATCGTCCACTTCTGGTGAGATCGACCTACGAATCTCTTCTTCATGCACTTTTATACGAAATGAATGTCTCCCTCAAAAATGGTATTCCACGAGATTAATCGGAACCCAGTTTCTCTTCGTATCTAAAACATTTCTGCAAAGAAAAGTTGGGTTCCAAGGAATCTCTTGTTTCATAATTGTTAAGCTTACTTCCATTTCGAATGAACGTGTTGAGTGAAGAGATTTGAAGTTCGGTTCCACCAGAAGACGACGGCAGATTCCCTTGACCAGCTGTCGATTGGCCTTACTGGAACATTCATGCTGACGCTGTTTCCGAGGCAATCTCCTTCGA